TGTCTTCTACAGACTCAGAGCAACAACAGAACATTCCATCTGAATAGGGAACATACTTTGGCTTTTGAGGCTGAAGCAATAACTGAAGCTATTCATGAGTGAATTTTGTAGTACAAAGTAGCCGAGGAAGTTCAGTCTTGGTATTTAGTTTTTGTTAATATTCATTTTTTTGCTTTTATTTTTGGTCCTGTGGACATTTTGATTTTATTGGGCAGTTTAATTTTGAGATTTAGTGTTGATTTACTTGCCCACTTGCAAATTAGTCTGTTCTCTTTAATCTGTTTTCATTCCCACTGATTTAATTGTATTTAATTTCAAATCAAATATAATAGAGTAGCCTATTGGCATCAACATAGGTTTGGGAATGCTTGATTCTCAAACAGTAAGGGTCAGATTCTACCTTTTGTTATATCAGTGTTAATGAAGATGCCAGAGGGTGGCTTAAAATCTGCAAAGGTAAAGGACAGGGGGAATACATGTATGAGGGAAGACAGGTGGAAATAATGATTCACCATTTGCAGTGCTTACCTGTCAAGAAGGGCGTCTCACATCCAACAGCACGTGTGTATGAGGAATGAGGAGGTTTTATGTAAAAATCTTGTGAATATAGTCTTCAAAGGCATATGGGAAAAGATCTTCCAGCACACAACCAAATCTATAATTGCATGTACACCTTCCCTTGGGTACATTAGTTTTGGATGGTTTGGGACTGTGGAAAAACAATGTGATAACAAGTAGTATCGGGCAAGATTCTTCATAGTTACACCACTGCAGACTTCTTGAAGCCCATGGGAGGTAACTGAGAGCAGAACCTATGTTCAGATGATGATGATAGGCCAAGGGAAAGGGGACAGCTCTTGTTGCTTCCTTTATTGCTCTGGATAACTTTGCTCACACAGGGGAATTGTGCTACTGAAAGCAACCAGGCTGCCCAGCTCCTCCAGACTTCAACAGCCAGGCACTGTGGTGAGGTCTGCCCTCACTGAGTCAGCTGTACATGGTCACAGGCCACCACAGCTCATTGTGAAGTCTTCTAAAGGAGCATGGCCTTTGGCACAGTGCAACATTCTTCAGATAATCCTCGAATCACAGATCCCAGGCACGCTCAGAGCGGCTCCTGATTTACACAACTGCAGTGATGTTGAGGATGAAGATGAGAATGTTTGTCTCCAGAGCTTGGGACAGCAGAGTGATGTGATGAGGGTTATGTCCTTCTCCCATACAGTGTCCTTCAGGAGATCCTTCCATACCTGCTCCGTTGCAATGTGAGCTGAGTGGACCTGGCATGTGAGCTAGGGATACTGAGGCTGACCTGTCAGCAATGCAGATACTCTACCAGTGTCAGGATGGAGGCAGGCAAGGCCTTCAGCTGGGCCTCATTGGCTGTGCCATGTTCTGTGGGCCTTCGACCAAGAAGACACCCATTCTGTCTAGCCCCAGTGCTCTTGCTTCCTAGTCCTGATTCCTGATCCTTGGCTTTCCATTCCCTAGCCTGGTTCCTATTCTGCAAGAACCTCTCTGCATAGTTCCTAGTCTGCTCCTTACCTAGATCCTCAGCTCTGAACTCCCAGGTTGTAACCATTATAGCACTGTGCCCCCATCTCCATGTCCAGGCTGCAACCATGCCAGTTTGAGAGTCTGCAGAGCCCTGCCAGGGCTGCTGCTTATGTGCAGCCACCACAACCAAGCCATCTAACAGGACACAGCTGAGGGCACTCAGGAAGTCAGCAGCCAGCCCCCCTTAGGCAGCCAAGGCTAATTGAGGGCTTGTCTGCCTAGATCCTGACAATCCACCAACAAAGACTGTCAGGAAGGGATTTCACTCATTACACCGGCAGGAATTTCCCTGCTCTGATCAGCAGCTGTGCAGAATGAAGTCCCCTAGTGCCACTGAGCAAAGACCACCCAGACAAGAGCCAGTCAAGGCACTGCCACCCTCCCCTGCCAATGTGCCTATGCCCCTCTTTCTGTCTGATAGATGTTGTTTGAAAGACCTCAGTGATACAGGCATCCAGGCTCTCAGGGATGGACTGGGGATTCAAAACCATGGACCACTGATCTCTAGCTTCTGTGAAATTGTCATTTGAGATGCAAATCCTTCTCCACTTGCTCAGTTTATGCCTGCCTCAGAACAGCCATGAGCGGGGGTGCTTTACAGTTTCCATTGAGCCCGGCACCTAGTAGTGAAAAGTTCCATAGCCTTCCACATCCTGTCCAGGACTGCGGGGCACAACTTACTGAAAGTCAGAGAATTTTCCCATTTTGAAGAGTGATTGATTTTACAAATAAACAACTTGGCAATCTAATGAAACAAGGGGGCTAGATTTTACCAAAATGCATTTCTCTCCTGTTGGTAGTTCTGTGCTGAAAAGCAAGCTCTAGGCCTCTTTTCTCAACAGACTGAGGAAAAATCAGGTTTTTCCCTCAACAACTATAGAGATAAATTAAAATTATCACAGAAAGGAATAAAGGAATGTTTAACATGGCTGTTTTCATATACATGTACAGTTGGACCCCCCATTACAAGGTTTTGAGTTACACTGATTCACATATACATGCTTTATATAATGTGACCATGTTTCAACTTATGCGATACCCTGCTTCACGTTTACACTGTTTGTGGTAGAGCGGTTGTTAGTTTGGAGTCTGCTTACATAGCTTTAGCATCGCTTGTCATCTCCTCCAAGATTGTCCATCATTTTTGGTTATGTTAACCCCTGACTATTTGTGAAAATGGCATCAAAGAAAGCTTTTGATGTTGGACCCAAAAGAGCACGTAAGTCTATCACCCTGGCCCAGAAAATAGAAATCCTTGATAAATTAAGAGAAGGCAATAGTGCTACGTCGATTGCTCACCAATACAGTTGAAGTGAATCAACTGTGTCTACCATTAAAAAAAGTGAGCAAAAAATTAGAGACTGTGTGAAAACGACAATCTTTATGAGTTCGAGAGTGTCGTTGGTGACTAGAATTCCTCATTTAGATAAGGCTGAGAAACTCCTTTATCTCTGGATCAATGAAATGACCAACACAAAAGGAGCAGTTGTCGACGGCATGGCAATTAGGGCTAAAACTTTGTCTCTGTATGAGCACATAGCCGGGAGTAAAGGTTTTAATAAGGCTATTAATTCCAGTATTTTGTGTTTAAATATCCTTTTATTATGAAATAATGTTATCAAATCTTGGCCCCAGGTCCCTATCCCCCTGTTTTCCATTGACTTAATGCCTCGAGTTACACGTTTTCAACTTACACGGTCTTTTTCAGGAACGTATCTCCCGCGTAACTCTTACACACAAGCCATTGTTTTAGCTGTTATTTATCTTTGACTGTGCCTACCTCTTTCCTAGACCTGGAGAAAGGCACTTGGTGCCTGAAAGCTTCTCCAACATCTCTCCTACCTATTCACTTGGTCTAATAAAAACCATTGCCAAAAAACCCTTGTTTCTCGCATATTTTTCTGGGGCATCATGGCTACAGCAACACTGTCTGTGGCTAGGTCTCCATTTAGTCCCATTTACATAACTTAAGGGGTGTCTGGGAGGGACCCCAAAGATTCCCGCTATGTAGGCCTTAGAACCAGGGATGCTGTCCTTTGATCTCCAATGATGATCCTCAACAGAGCTGGAGCCTTGACCACCAACGATTTTCAGTACCTGTGACCACAAGTCATCACCTAGTTTATTCTCTTGGTATCCACAATTTTTCCTCATTTCTAATGGGTCCCACTTGGTGTTATTAAAAAGTGTTTGAACCACTTCAGACTTAACTTCTAAAGAGGTTGCAAAGGGATTATTGTGTCAGTGTGGAGCACCGAGGGACAGAAGCTAAGTTTGTGCTTCTCTAGGGGAGGAAAAGAAAACAGAATCACACCCATGTCTAGGGGCTTTTGGGAGGAGGCTGTTTATGGGGTACCTCTCAGCAGTAAGTGACAAAGCTGACTCAATATTAGCCCATAAAAGTTCAGCCAGTTTAACCCCATTTCCCTGCCATATACTTCCTAGCACAGACAGGGCTAAGGATGCATGGCTTGGGGGCTGGATGTCTGAGAAGCTTCCCACTTGGCGTGAGCTGCTTCAGGAGTGACAGGGTCAAGTGGCTGTTCAAGCCGATTGTGAAGAGTGAGTGGGTTTGCTCACTGGGAGGGCCACCAGCAGCATATGCCCCTCCAATACTGGAGCCATAACCCTGACAGATGGTACAGTCCTCCTCCCCATACATCCAAGCAGAGGCCTAATCCACTCAGATTTCTCTTCACAGTACTTAAAATTTATGCTTTTTCCTTCCTAGCCGCCAGGCAAATGAGTGGTCCGGACTGATCACATCCGTGCTTCTCAGCTGTGGTCTCCCCTGTTTGGTGCCACCTGTACAGCATGCAAAATACTGCTGCTAAAACTATCCCTCTTGCTGCCTTACTGACAGTAACTCCCCATTAACTCCTGGTTGATTTCTTTGGTTCTCCACTGCATCATATCTCGCACTTCTTGTCCCTGGTTTCAAGACCATATAACACAGCCACTCCCTTCACTTCAGCCCTGGCTGCTTGAACATTCACCTTCCCTTGCTTCCAGTGAAGCCATAAACACCTCTGTGCCTCCTTCCATGCTGCCTCTTTCACTTGGACCCCCACAACTCTCCGAATCCATTTCCCAGTCCACAACGTCTGCCTGCTGCAAACCTTAGAGCTGCCATCTCACCTCCAAATGAACTCAAACATCAAGGTGCGCTTTGGCCTTTCTGAACATACTTTCCTCTTCTCATTTCCATCATTTCATCTCAACTGGGGAATTTCTCATGTATTGAGATCAACAGAGCATGACTCTGTCCTGCCCACATAGAAGAAATGTAAGTGTTTATGTGACAAGACAGTCTTGAGAAAGACTTGGGAGGTGACATGCCACCAGAACTCCAGGGCAGATCTCTTCTGAGTTCTCTGAAGGAGCACATCAAGCTCAGGGTTTATTTGCAAGTCTATTTATTCAGCAAGCAAAAGTATTACTCCCAAGAAACAAAAGATCCTGCAAAACCACACCATCAAGAGCAGAGAGGAGAAGAAGAAAGAGAGGAAGAGGAAGCCTGAAGCTGCATCTTGGATTTCCAAAGAGTGGCTGTTTCTTCAGCCAGGAACAACAGGAACAACATCAACTGTATGGCTTAGCATCCCCTATGAAACAACCACAGGGAAGGTGAATGAGGGTAGCATGTTTAAGAGCATGATGAGCTGAGTAGAGTGTAGTTCCCTACCATGGGCTAAGCTTTCATCTGTACTCCCAAGTGAAGCAGTTAAGGTCCTTTCCACACCATGCCTCTGTTTCCCCATGCTATTAATCCTGCTTTCCCTCTTGGTAAAACACCATCTGACCTATAGGTGAGAGTGCTACACAATACCTTAGGCTAGATCCCCCAAATGTATTAAGTGCTTAGCTCCCAACTGATTTTGGTAGGAGTTAAGCACATCAAGGCCCTCAAAAATAGCAAAGTTTAGGTCCAGAATCTCAATGGAGGACTGTGATCCAGAGTGTGTTATGTCTGTAAATGCATGGAAAATGCAAATGGCTAGCTGGAAAAGGAATGATGTTGCCTGCTTGTTGTCGACAGAATCCAGGAGGTCTAACTCTCTCGTGGTAGGATTCTAACTCTCTAATGATTAAGATTCAAGGATATAGGAATGAAGTCTAGTCTCTCTGAGACAAACCTTGGAGGATTAAGGTGCTCCTTCCCTCAGATACAGAGGGCTGTAGATTCCTACTGAAGATACACCACAAAAACATTTGTAGTCATAATGTAGACTCACCTAGACGTCAGCTAGGGTGCATATCTCTGAAAAGAAAGGGAAGGGATGAGTACTGCATAATGGTTCTCATTAGCAGAGGAAACATTAGGGAGGCAACATGGCAACAAAGCAGAGCAGGACAAAATCCCTGAAGTTCCAACACAGCAAGTATCTCATTATTAGCAATTTGTTATTCTGGCGCTTCAAACTGTGACCGGTGCCACACAATTGAAGTACTGATAGATTCCACCCCAATCAGTGTGGACAGGAAGGAGCAGGAAAATCAAGCCACCACTCTTCTCACCTTTGTTGAAAAAGATGGCAATTAGATCATCACTGAAGTCTCTCTCCTCAGCCAACTGTCTAAACAGCGCTTCTGTTTCAGGGGTCAGCTCCTGGATCCTGGCTAGAGCCAAAAATAAGAATTAGAACCATGTTTGACTGAGTGTATTTCCAACCATTGTGGAAATATTCAGGTGTCTTGACATCTGCTTGGTGATGGGTACGGGGGACACGCCCAGAAAATGTTAATGGATCACTGGAGGAGCAAAGGAAGGCATAGGGGAGCTAATGGAAGAAGGGCTGGCTGTGCTTTGGGGGCTCTCCGAGGTCCTGAAGCACAGCAGGCAATCTCATACGTCTTTCAAAAGGGCAATGGCAAACATCAATGAAACATAGCCAGCAGGTACCAGATCCAGTTAAGGATCAGCTACTCTCTTCTAGACCCTGTACTTGCTTGATCTGACATATTTAGAACAGAAGTTGATTTCACCTTTGATATAAGATTCAGCTTCCAGTCTTTTAATCTAGGAATAACAAAGGAGCCTGAATTCATGTTTAACCCCCTGCTTAGCGCATGGGTACTTTGGAATAAGAGCATCCTAGTGTAACACAGTCTTTTCACCCAAATAATGGTGTTTTCTTTTAAAGAAACAAATATATTGGATTTCACCAGTTCTTAGTAACTCAGGCACCCCTGCTGAGTCTGAACCATCAACACGGCTCCAGGACAAGTAAAATGGTCTCTAAACGGTTGAAAATGTAGAGCATTGCCTTTTTCAAGGCAGAGCCAATGAGGAAAAGAACAAATGGTGTGGGCAGCAGAGAATAAATCAATGGATAAAATGCCTAGAGTTAAAATGATTTTGAGTGCAGCTAGAACAGCAGGAAGGGAAAGGCAGATCACTACTGTGATCTGAATGTGGCATTGGCCCTTAGATCCTTGCTGGGAGTGGGGGGAAGGGGGGCAGGGGATATGCTGAATCTAGTTGTTAAGAGGAAGTGAGATGCAGAAGATTTTTTAGTTGTTTAGCTAGTGCCCAAAAGGCTCAAATCCCTGCTGGTTCTTAGGGATGCCTTGGCAGGTGGCCTTAGCAGAGGCTCCCTGCTGGTTCTTAGGGATGCCTTGGCAGGGGGCCTTGGCAGAGGACCAGGACTTAATCACCAACCATTTAAATCCTCCCAGTGACCCATTGATGCCACATCACTGCATTAGAGTCTTTCAGTGAGTGCAGATACAAGTTCCACCACTCAGAGACATGTCAGGACCCACTTCTCACCCAGAGCAGGAGGCGATCCCTAGGACATGCAGCTAGAGGGGAAGAGCAGAAGGATCTAGCATAGCTTCAGTCAGGGAGGGCTGGGTTGGATGTCTCATTTTCCTCCACTCTCTGAAGGTTTGGATCTGTTGATGCAGAGTCTGCAGGGATGCCAAATCCTAACTCTCTTTTCCTCCACTAGTCCAGCTGTGTGTCACACCTCTGCAGGTGAGACACTGGCATTGGAGTCAAGCATGGATTTCCCAGATGGCAGGGCTGAGCACACCCAGAAAGTTTGTACTCCTGGAGCCTTCACACTATTAAGACAGGTAGCGGGTGCTGTGCTCTTTGGCAGTATGGCAGTTCTGGCAATGCAAACAAATTCAACCAGGGCTGATAAACAGCTGGTAGAATTTCAAGAGTGCAGGTTGTCTATTGTGCTTCACTGTGATGCACCATCCTGAGATACAAGGAACAGCAGCTGCTCACAGTGATATCAAGAGATATGAGGACCTCAGTTATGGCCAAGAAATAGCTAGAGAATAGGGAAAAACTGAGAACCATGACAAAGGGGCTTCCAGATACCTACTGAGGAGTTTCAGTTCTCTGCAGACCTTCTCATCAACCGTCCAGAAGGAATAAAAAATGCCATAGTGCTCATAGTCGATCTTTATCACCTGTGCAGTTTTACGATACTCTTCTACAAGAGAAAATGGAAGGGGCCCCAAAGTTAATATCACCACTCTGAGGGAGGGAACAGCAATGCAAAGCAGTCAGCCTTTACCATTATGGTGCCCACCAAAAGGGAACCAGCTACACCAATGAGTCACAGTTAGAGAGCTCAGTGCCAGCCAGTTAGCTCAGTGCCAGCCAGGTGCCCTGTGACATGGCTGATGCCAAGATACAGCATAGGCCGCACAAACACTCATACATAATAAAACCTAGGTGATTATAAGAATTTCTGGAGTAAGGCCACTACAGACATTGGGGTAACCTAGTGCACGTATCCATTAACCCCATGGATTCCTGCATCAAGGTCACTTGCCATAGTATCTGGATCTCGTGCCATGTATTAGGGCCATATAAAGGCCACCTCAACATCTTCCACTGTCCCCCATGAATAAAGAAAGTACACAGAACTCACTTACAGTAATCTGCTAATTGTAGAGGCTATACTCAGGGCCTGTCTATACTGGAAAAGCGGTTAGAATTAAGGTGGGTATGAATTTAAAGACCTGGTGCTATTCTGTGTGTGGGCACTCTCAATCCTACATCCACATGCTTTAGCCCTGTGGAGTAACTCCATGTGGCTGGTTTAGCTATCTGGGAATAGTCATTCTGGAATAGCACCCTCCATAGACACACTCTGCAACAAGCACAAGAGCTGGTAACTGTGATGTCAGACAGCTGGGCCATTTTTATAACACAGCCAGCCACCCATGAGCACCTGCTTTTCTACAGATGGATGAATGATCATTGATAATTGGCAGCCATTCTTCAGGGCTTCAATTGGCAGCCATTCTTCAGGGCAGCCATTCTTCATGTCATTCATTGGCAGCCATTCTTCATTCAATTGGTGAAAGCCCCACATACTCACCAGAGTAGAATTCACCTGACTTCTCTGTTTCCTTAAAGGTCGTTTCCATTTTTTTACATTTTCCCTGGCTGAAAAAAAAAGAAAACAAAGTAAAGGAAATGCAGTCACTGGGCTCCACTGAGACCCACTCAGAGAGGGTTCCCCTGAATCAGGAAAAGGCATCCTGGGTGGGATGCTTCATCCATCCAGCCACAGGGACAGACAGAGCCCCAGGCACCAGGAAAACCCCAGGTAAGTGGGCAAGGCAAAAGCAGAGACCCTGTAATAGTGATAGAGGGACAGCAGGGAGGGCAGCCCAGGAGCAAGAAACACATGTTACTCGCAAGCTTTTCTCCTTCTTCCTGCAGATTTTACTCTGTTATTGCTTGACTAAAGCAGCTGCTGGGATGGGGGCTCCACTGCACTAGCTGTTGCACATGTCCAGAGAAAAGAAACAGTCCCTCGTCTCCAGGATTTGCCATCTGAATAAATGAGGCAGGTACAAGGAGTAGCACTATTTAGGGAAAACGAGGCATTGGGATGGCACATAGGGCACTATGTGATCTTGATAGAGCCTGGGACTGATGCCAGCTTTCCTGAGGTTCAGCCATATGTCCAAGTCATTGGAGCAGTCTTCCCCTCAGCTGTGCATTTATCAAAGCTGAGATTGTTTAATTTAGTGCCTGCTGAGTAGCTCCTAGATCAGCTCTCTTGGAAGCTGGGCCAAGCTGGGGACACTGCCTCACCCAGTGCCTTTCCAGAAAGGCCAGTCTTTCAGCCTGGAGGTGGGAAGAAGAGCCTGGCTGACAGTACATAGCAACCCCCCAGGATCAGGACCCCTTGGGGTCTCCTGGCCTGCAGCCTCCTGCAGCTGGTTGTCCCCTTTGCAAAGTCTCTTAGGGCTTGTTGACCATCCTTGCAGGACTCATTCCTATCAGTCATAGCCTTTTAGTCTCAACACAGGCTTTCCCAGCACCAGTCTTTTCCTAAAACTTCCTTTACTTCTTTGAATGAGCTCTGACTAGTCCCAGCCTTCCCTCTGTCCTGAGCAGACCTTAGCCAAGTGCCTCCTTGTTCTAGCCTTCCCCCAAGCCTACTCATGGTGTCAGCCCCTGGCAGGAGCTCTGTCCTCCTCCACTGCTGGAACACTTCTGTTGATGCAGCTGGGACCCTTCCCTTATGTACCACTAAGGGCAGGGCCTGTTTTATCCCTCATACTGGACCCTCCTGCCTCCTCTTTGTGAAAGGCACTAAAAGGGGCTTGTTACACAAGTGAAGGGAGGGGACGGTGCTAACTGCTCTTTGACCTGTCAATGCTGCAGCTTCCTCCGAGGTGGCACAGTGATATTCCCATATTCGGTGCTCCGCTACTTGCCTTTCCCCAGCCGCTTTCAACCCACTGGTGCTGGGAGGCACCGGGTTCTTTCTACCTCACTCTGTTCTTATGAAGCTGCCCGTTATTGTGGCATCAGACAGCAGGTCTCTCAAGGGGTTTCTCAGTCCCACTCCATTGACATAGGGCTCACGAGGGAGCGGATCAAACAGGGAAGCCAGTGGGCATGGGACTATGCTCAGGTCTTACCTGGAGAAGGCCATTGAAAAAAGCACTTCCCCCTCCTTGGTGAGCGAGATATCAGCAGGCATCATGGTCATGTCACCCTTCCTCTTTTGAAGCCAATCGCAGGTCGATGCCACACCAGTGAGGTACCACTTCCCTGTGAGCTAGAGACAGCAGCTCCCTGTGGATCTGGACAAGGGGTTCAGCATGCCCTGCCCTCAGGCTCCCAGGCCCCCAAATTGGGAGCCCAAAGAACCCTCTCAATTTGAAAGGGAAGCTCAAGGGGCATAGATCACAAAGGATCAGTGCTGCTGTCAGCTGGGCCCCACCCAGTCAGCCACTGGCACAGCTGCTTTGCCCAGTACAACGCGCAGAGGCGAGGGCTCAGAGTCTGTTCTGTCAGACTTGTCCTTAGGCACTGACCAAGCCCAAGCTTTACCAAGCTGAGTTTCCTGCAAGCTCTTTTTCTTAACCTCTCTCCCCTTATACCAGAGAGAAAGAAAATGAAATACAGGCCTGCTAACAATGGAGCCCACCAACACAAGGGCTGGGCAATGGGAATTAATACTCTCCCTGGAACCGACACACAAAAATTCCTCCCTCATTCCCATGTCCCAGTCAAGCTCAGTGACCCCAACCAGTCATAGGAGGCAGTTAAATGAACCAGGTGCCTAAGGGGCTGCAAGGGTGGCTTTGCTTTTGGGGCTGCAGTTGAATCGAGGGTGTAATTGCCATTAGGGACCCTGTACAGATCCATTCAACCCAACTCCCAGGGGGAATGCAAGGATTCCTGCTTTCTGCTGAGCCCTATAACAGGAGCAGTCAGACGTTGGTGAGTGCTGCCCTCCCCTACCCAGGACCATGGATGTTACCTTGTTCTTGTCTACCCTTTCTGCCCTTGGCTGAGCCTCGGCCAGGAGCATACAGAGCAGGGTCAGCCCCAGGCTCAGCAGTGCAACCTTCATCATGCAGACCTCTTGCTTCTCAGCAAAGATGAGGAATTCAGAGCTGGTGCATGAAGGGCTCCTGGCTTTATAGGGCTCAGCACAGTCTCTCCCAGACATGGGAACAGAGCATAATGGATCCTGCCCATCCCTTGTAAGTTGTGCAATTGAGGAAGTAACATGGCCCTGGTGAGCATCAGCACATCACGTATCTTTGAAATATTTTAATACCTCCCAAAACTCTCACCCATAAAGGACAAAGTACAGCATGTTTAGATCCTGAGGGTGGGGAGACTTGCCAGCAGGTTAATAGGATGCTGGGTTGGTTTGATCTCCGCAGGCTATTTGTGATCATCAAGGCAGGCAGCAGCAAAAACAGAACAGACTCACTTTGACCTTCTCTATTCTCAGCTGCTCAGGGGTCAGGACCTGAAAGGACTAGAGAGTGGGACAAAGGGTCTTCCAGAGCATTATCCACAACGGGGAAGCCAACAGCATGTGTTCCGCCTCTCAGCCTATGGATCTAGCTGGGGCACATCCCAAAGCCTTGTTGGACTCTTCTAAGGATGCAGCCTGTATAGAAGTCACAGGAACTGGCAACTGCCCATCTGTGAAGAACCTAAATATCCAGTGCCAGCTCTCACAGGGGCCAGTACAGGGGTGGGCAATTATTTCAGGCGGAGGGCCGCTTACTGAGTTTTGGCAAGCCATCGGGGGCTGCATGACAGGCAGCCAGGGGCAGGTAAATATTAATTTTCTAAATGTTTTAGGGGCCCCGCGGGCTAGATAGAATGGCCTGGCAGGCCGCATCTGGCCCGTGGGCCATATTTTGCCCACCCCTGGGCCAGCAGCTTTAGTGTAAACATCTCCTCTGCCTTTGGCATTAACCTTACCCCCATCCCATTTGCTCTGGTTGCACCACATAGAATTTATACCTGCAATCTGGGTGCCCCACTGCTTTGCCAGCAAAAGTGGGAATTTCTTGGCTCAAGAGGCATCTGGCTCAGGGACATGAGAGCCTGAGCACGGCCATGCAGGCAGGGCAGGAAAATCCCTTGTCATCTGGAGCAGGGATTACAAGGTCTGCTAGCACAGCATCTTGAGCACATAAGGACCCTGAGCATGGCCCTGTGGGAAATGTAAGTCCATCTTGGAGTGATGGTTGCATTCTGGGCCAGGCACCTAGGCAGCAGAAACCATCCCTGCTGTGACCTGAGCCCAATCAGCAGCCCTTCTTCCTCCACACATCTGTTTGTGATCTGGGCACATCAGCTGCCCTCAGCTAGCAGCAGAGCTAGCTTCCAACAGCACCTACATGCAACCAAAGTAGGCAATGTCAGTGGGGGTTTGTGTGAATAACAACTCCAGCATGGGCTGGTGTGGAGAGGAGCAGAGAGGTTGCACTACACACAGTTGCTTTCACTCCTTGAGTAACTCCATTAACAGGCAGCTGTAGTAGGTTCTTATTGCCACGTGCAGACCAGCAATTAGAGCAGGGGTGGGCAAAATGCAGCTCGTGGACCAGATGCAGCCCACTAGCCCATTCTACCTGGCCCATAGGGCCCTAAAAATTTAGAAAATTAATATTTATCTTCCCCTGGCTGCCTGTCATGCGGCCCTCGATGGTTTGCCAAAACTCAGTATGCGGCCTTCCTGAACTCACCTTGAATTAGAGGGTAAGAGTCACTGTTTTTAAATTTGTGTGACCCCTGCCACATTGTGGAGAGGAGCAGGGTGGGCCTTGGTTTTTCCCAGGGAGGTGTGTGACTGGGAAGAGGAGAAAAGTGAACCAGGGGTTAGGGCACTAGCCTGGGTCTTTGGGAGGCCACTGGGCCTCTGCCCTGGGTCTGGGCCATGGGAGGCACTGTGTGAGTGTCATGGGCTGACAGATCCAAAGTGGGTGGCCTGGCAGAGGAGGGCAGAGGCTCTGGAGAAAGGGGTCTCCATGGCACCCCTTTCTCATGTCATGGCAGTGACTAAGGGTCCCTGGGGGCCAACGGTGCCCATGGAGGTGATAGAGTTGGCAGCACTGCCTCTTTCACTGCCTGGGAAGGACTGGAGCCATGTGCAAAGCAGGCTTCTTCCTATCTTGGGAGCTCTGTTTACCTGCAAAGTCCAGGCCTCCCCTTGCTGCCCTAGGAGTCCTGGGCACATCTCCCCTCATTCTCAGCCTCATGAAGGTTGCTGCCTTCTGGGGGCAGGGAGCACAATTCCTCTCCTTAGCATACTGACTGCTGCTGTCTCTGCTTCTCCCATCTGTTGCATTTGCTCTGGAAGCTGCCCAGGTGAGGAGGAGAAGCATGGAGGAGTCAAGTGCCCTTGGGCATGCTACCCCACCTGTCTCTGTGTTTACAAACAGATGTCAGCTGCACTAAAGTGACACAGTTTATTACTAACTTCTGTCATGCCACATCCATGACAAAAGGGAGGGACATCTATTCATTTAGTGTCTGTGCTACCGTAACAGTTGTTAAGGCAACACAAATGCAGTGGGCCTGCAGTGGGATAGAAGGTAATAATAAACTGTGCCACTATATTGTGCCAGCCCTTTGTCTGCTCTGTTGCAGGGGAGTGCGGGCAGCTTGGGCTGGGAAAGCTGGGCACATGTCCCTCGTTGGCTGGGCTCCCTGGTCAGGATGGGACATTTCATCCCTGAGGAATCTCAGGGCACCTCTCTATAAGTGGGGAAAGTTGGAGCTCGCTGCTTATGGAGACCTGCTCTGAGATCTCTAGGGGCACCTCTCCATACGTGGAGAAAGCCCAGGAAGGTCCTAGCATGGAGGCATGGAACCCAGGGAATCCCCAGTGCCCTGTTCCTCCATGCCAGGACTTACTTACCCACATCCACCCCCAAGATCTCTGGGAACCTTTCTGGGTAAGCGGGTAAAGCTGGGGGTTGTCCACTTACCCAGATGCATCCCTGGAGATCCCAGGGGCAGGTCTCGGTAGGTGAGGAAAGCCAGGCAGGCACTCCCAGGGCTTAGGAGGCTTGATCCTACCTGGGTATTCCTGGGGTGCACAGGACCAGGCCCCTCAAGCTCTGAAAGAAATCATCTGTTGTCTCTCACCGTCAAGGAGCAGAACAACAGGTGACATGTTTTGCCCAGTGAAGTGGATCAGCTTTGCTGGGACACATCATAGAGTCATAGAGAAGTAGGGCTGGAAGGGACCTCCAGAGGCATCTAGTCCAGCCACCTGCCTGAGGCAGGATCATCCCTATCCAAACCATCCCATCTAAACTCTACATAAGACTACTCTCAACCTTGACACAACATAACCTAACACCCTAACCTGCCACAGGTAAAATAAGGGGAACCACAGCAGCCAAAGTCCTGCTTCTATAAAATGCTGTCAATATACTCACAAGAGATTCCAGGTAGAGGGCCTTCACCCTCACTACAGGGGAAGGCAAAAACTTCCCCAGTCCACACAAATCTAACCAGGGGTTAAAAGTCTTCCCTTACCCCACATATGGTGATCTTTGATCTTAACAGGAGGATTGGCACACCCCAGTTGAAATCCACAGCTTTAGCTGTAGCCAATACTCAATGCCTCTGAGGAGGCTTAAAAACACCCATATAGCAGAAAAAGGCTGCGGGGGGGGAAGTAACCAGCAAAGCCCAGAAATACCTATGGTAGAAAATAGGCATAGCTACACCTAGATCATCCACAACCAGTGGCTGTCCAACCTCTTCTTAAATACCTCCAGTGATGGAGAGTCCACAACTTCATTTACTATTCCACTGCCTCACTATTCTCACAGTGAAGAAGTTTTTCCAGCTATCCAATCTAAATTTACTTTACTGCAACTTCAAGCCATTATTCAAGTCCTCTTCTTTGCAGCAAGAGAGAAAAGATGCTTTCTCTCTTCTTTATGACAGCCCTTAAAGTATTTGAAGACTGCTTGCACGTCCCCTTGTGAAAGGTCCCTGACTGACTTACATTGTCACTTCAGCCCAGGTGCCTCGGACGTGGCCGGTACAGCTGGTGCACTGCAGCTGGAGGGTCCATCCCCAGGTGGCCCAGAGCCCCGTGGCTGCACACAAAAAAGTGGTCTGGAGACCAGAAGCCAGGTGGGAAGCGTCTGTGTGCCAGAACTGGCACCAGACACACTTCCTGCTGCCAGAAGCACCCTGCCACTGCCTTTGTCAGCTGGTGAGCCAGGGGCAACTGCCCAGGCCTGCCTGAGCCTGGAGAGGGCCAAACTTGAGGGCCATCCAGACCCCAGCCAGAAGACTTTCTGGCAGGAGCTGGGCACAGCTCTGGTTGCCTGTCTGGGGTCAGACCCGTTCACTGGGACTAGGCAATCCAGACTGGAGCAGCCAAGCCAGCCAGCTTGCATACGTCACCTGCAAACTTGCTCCAGAAGCTTTCTATGCCAGCATCCAAATGATTAATAAAACACGTTGAACAGCACCAGACCCAGGACTCCACTTAAAACCTCATGTCATTCTGACATGGACCTGCTAATAATTACCCTTTACTTATGGCTATTGAGCCAGTTATCTTCTACCATGGAGTAGTTTTATCCAGCCCAAGTTTCTCCAATTTGTTTATGAGAAGGTAGTGCGGGACCTTGTCAAAAGCCTTGCTGAAGTCCAGATACACTATATCCACAGCAGTCCTTTTTTCCAGCCAAGTAGTTACTTTGTCAACAAAGGAGATCACTTTTCTTTAACAAGATTTTTCATAAATCCATATTGGCTGCTTGTAATCAGCCTTTCCTCCTCCAGATGCTTGCAAATGGCCTTCCTTAGGATACGCTCCAGTAAATTCCCAGGCATTGAGGTGACGCTAACTGGTCTGTAGTTCCCCGGGTCCACCTTCTTGCTTTTTTTAAAGAGAGGCACTACATTGGCCCTTTTCCAGTCCTCTGCTACCTGGCCTCTCTCCCATGACTTCATGAAGATCTGATATCTCCTTTGCCCGTTCCTTCAGGACCCTGGGTTGAAGCTCACTTGGCTCTGCTGACTAGAATTCATTAAGATCCAAGAAAAGCTTGACTGTCTTTACTGTTATCTCCTCCCTTATCTTACCTCCTTCATTATCCAGATAATACCTATTAGGTGTCTGGCAGCTTAATTTTTTTGTGAAGATTGAGGCAAAGTAGCTGTTAAGTAGCTCTGCCTTCTTTGTATCTTCCCTTTTGGGAGTTCCCTTCCCCCTGCCTTGTTAACAAAGGAAACACAGCTTCCTTGGTCTTTATTTTCTAGCCAACATACTTATAGAGCCTCCTGTTGTCCTCGACCTCCTCTGCCAAGTGCAGCTTGTTCTTTATCTTTGCCTTCCTGATTTTTGTCCCTGCAGGTTCTTCCTATTTCCTGGCCTGCGTCCTTGGTGACCTGCCCATTCGCCCATTGCCTGTCTGCTTTCCTTTTGCATTTGAGTCATTTTAGAAGCTCCTTGTGCTGCAACATTAGTCTCTTGCCCTTCTTCTTGTGCTTCCATTGTGTCAAGACAGATTCTTGTCAGGCTTTCCACTACTGTGCTCCTTAGAAGCTCCCAGCCCTCCTGGGCACCTTTATCCTTCAATCTATCCTGCCAGGACACCATGCCCATTCGCTCCTTGAGTAGGATGAAATCTGCCTTTTTGAACTCAAGTGTCCTAATCACAGCACAGCTCATCCATTACAAGAGAGCTGCAGGTGGCTGACAGTGACACACACACTGGGTATGGAAACAGGGAGCAGGAGCCCTGGAGGGGCTACAGGCACTGCCAAGCCAAGGTGAGGCATGGGATTGAGCTGTAAGTGGCTCATTGCGGGGGCATAGGGACAGAGGAAGGGTGGATCCCACCACTGTGTGCACTCCTGAGCAAGCATTTGGGGGCATCTGCCCCCCAGATCTGAGTGTGGGGAGAGGGCTCCTGCTGTGGGCTTTTCCCCAGGTGCCAAACTTTGTTGCTTCGGCTCTGTCATGTCCTCCATCCTTCTGTCAGAACATCTCTACCTGGCGCAGTGTCACCTGCTGTGCAGAGGTCTGGCTTGGGGTTGCAGTCATCCCGGACTGAATACAGCACCCATTGAAGCACTCAGAAATCCTGTTCCATGTTATTCCATCTGAGCACTCTCATGTGTCTGTCCCCCCGAGTAACTTCCTGAAAGCTGCTAGCAGTAAGCAGGGAAGAGGCCCCATTGAAAGGTCCCCAAAGGGCTCCAGGGCCCTGGGGTCTGGAATCACCAACAGAATCCAGAGCTGCTCCCACCTTCCCCAGACAAACACACGGGGCTCGGGAGGCAGGTTCGCATCTATTTATTTGGCAGCGAGAGGAGGGGTGGACTGAGAGGGAATGAATCCCTCTAGAGGAAGTGGAGGAGGAGGCTGAGGAGGCACAAAGCTGCAGCCTGGATTTTGAGATCACTGATGCTTCTTTGATCCACCTGTGGGAGATGGAGAAGCTGCATCCGATGGGGGTGGCTCCCCTTTAAACACTGTAAGACAGACAATAAGAGTGATGGATACCTGGGTAGAGGGGAAACGGGGGATGAGCAGACAGGCAAGTGAACCATTAATGCAGGATCCCTTAAAACAGCCCAGTCTGGGTCACAACAGCCCCATCCTGACCAAGGCAGTCCAAGTGCCCAGCTCTCCCAGGCACTGGTGCTGTGGAGACAGATGCCTCTCAGTGGAGACTTAATGAGCGGCAGAAGAGCAGCAAGCATCCCCCTCCCCAATCTTGACCCCCAGTAATCAGGCGCCTTGCTATTCAGATAGCCCCGGCTCGATGGAAACCCAGGGATAGTAAACTCACCCAAGGGCCTTGGCACACTGATCTGTCAAGAGAAAGAGAGAGCTGTCAGTGCTCAGCATAAGCTCATTGCTCCAGGATCATCTCAATGGCAAAGACAAATGTTGGGGATCTAAAATGGCCCAATCCCTCTAGGATCCTGGTCAGTGAACCCTGCCACAATGCATGTGTCATGGCCAATGGCATCAGTTCTTTTCCAAGTTTAGCAGTACATTAGTTTATCAGTACATATAGGAAGGGAAATAATCCCGAAGCAGGCAGCAGTTACCTGACTTGGGCAAGATGACCAGCATGTCTTCAGTGAGGCCCATGGTTGGGTACAGCTCCTTGAATCTCTTCAGGGCTTCAGGGTGCACATCCTGGACTCTGCCTGAAGCCAAAGATCAGCATTAAAGCCAGGTGTTTCCAGCCTGACCTGCAGCAGGGCTCCTCTGTGGCTGGACAGATAGACACAGTCCTGACCAGCTACAATGGGAGGCTGTGTGCTAGTGAAGGAACAGTGACAGGGATTTCTAGGGGCTGGTGTGGGCATGAGATCAGCTGAGGGCTAGGAGAGAAAGGAAGGTTCTCTGTGAAGACCAACAATTAGATGTAGAGGACCAGGAAGCCAGCCTGATGGACGCCTCTACCAATGACCACCTGAGGGCCTCCCCTTGATTTTGAACATTCACCCATCAGGTAGAGCACAGAGCTGGGCTAGAAACTTGGCCACAATTTTCTCTTTGTATGGACCACTCTTACGTGCAGCCCTTTGGGGCTGGCTCACAGGAGGTAATTCAGGGAAAGCATCTGTGAAACAGCCAACAGTAGGGAAACGGTCATGGAAACTTCTCAGCGTTGCTTTGAGAACCAAGCTTCAGAGGACAGCTCAGGTACCACTGGCTTTCCCCAAATCCCCTCCTCACCCACATCTCATGTCAACACCATTTTCTCACTGGGGTTGTACTGTCCTGACCATTCTCCCAACACTTACTAAAGAGCTGCAAGGTGACGCTGGTCTCGCCGTCCTTATCCTTGCGTATGTACACGATGGCGTAGTGAGCATAGTCTGTCTCCACCACGCGGAAGTCTCTCTTGGCCATCACTGAAAAACAAACCAGGCGGTGTTCAAAGACCACAACGTCTCAGCTCTTCTCCTTAGCAAACAGGCTACATGCTGGGGCTGGTATTAGGGTGATGAGGGCACTGGACACATCCCATACTCTGCACTGGTCCCATGCCCTGCACTGCTGGTGGGCTGTTGAGTATCCTGCTCCCAGTAGTGTAGCTGGGTGTGGTAAATGGGGCAGCAGCCTGAAGCATCCATTTAGAAGGGGTGCAAGAGTGGCAGCTGGTATTACTGCTGTCCAGACCACTGCATCTTCCACCACCTGCTGTGCTACTGCCACCACTCTGGGTACAGACCCTGGTCTCTACTTAAAGCACATCATATTCCTGCTATGTACCTCAGTTTTCCCCATCTGTAAAATGGGGTTATTCTAATATGAAAAGTTCTGCATAAAAGCTAGGATATTTTTTTTTATTCGATTAATGTGATTACTAGATAGTGGCACCCAATGGCTCTTTATTGATCCAAAGGCACTTTATTGGCAGATTTGTAGCAGCTTCGGGCAGCTGTCATCTAGGAAGTCCCCCAATACCTTCTTGATTTTGATCTATAACCTCAAATAGCCAGGACCAGGTGCTTTCTAATAGTACAAGGGGCATCTTCACAACCCAGCCTTGCTGGTAACAGTTGGTTCTCTGCCTGTCTTTGTTGGATGACATGTGCTGAAACCAGGGAGATCAAAGCTCTGCCTTATGGGTGCTGGTGCTATTAGCTCAGACCAGCCTGGCCACAAATACAGCTTGTGAATTAATTATCCAAACAAGATCTCTGAACCAGGTGCTGCACAGGGCTTGTTTGAGTCTGGTTTTGCAAAGCATGTAACCAGGTGCTTCATGTGAACTGCCAGTGTATGGTGGCAGATCCAGGATGTGGTGGAATGGCAGCATCTGATAGTTGGCCTGGCCAGTTTGCAAATCTGCCTACAAAGCTTTGCTCATTGGTGCGCCATCTTCAGCCTGAGAAGTACCTGAATTGGTGTAGTGACCTGACTTCCCAGCGCTCTTGAAAGTAAGATCCATTTTCTGACATTTATCTGGCCTGGAAAAAAGCAAAGGGAAAAGCAAGGTCAGGCTAAACCAGAACCTGGGTCACTCAAAGAGCTGGGGTGAGCCTAGTTTGCCCAGGTAACAAGCAGGCCTATCCTGGGAAGGGGGGGCAATGTGCCATCATGGTGTGGGGCAGAGGTGAGTCTGTTCTGACTGGGTGGGGGGATGTTTGTTACACGGGCAAGCAAAGCCTAGTAGGAGGGTTATGGCATACTCTAGAGATGGGCGTGAGCCTGCCTTGACCTGTGCGTTGCAGGATAAACCAAAAGGAGATTCTTCCTGATTTGAATTTCACCTTATTTTCACTCTCCCACCACCTCAGCCCTAACAGGAGAATCTATCCACAATGAAGGCCCAGCTACCTATGAGGCAACATCAGGGAAAACCACAAGAATATTTCCTCCACTTTAGCACCAAACCAGCCTCAACCACTAAGCTATAGTCATCTTTCTCTAGGCCACTGACTGTGCCGAGCCCAGGAGAGCCACATGCTGATGGGTCAGATCAGCAGGTTACAAATGTACTCACAAAGGGTAACCAGCAGTTAAAGTCAAGTCGCCTCCTGGCATTGGCGTGATGATGGTAACAGACGTCTTCATGACTTCCTTCATGCTCAGGAACTGGGGGCAGTTGGAGGCAGCAACCATGATGTGCCATTTCCCTGCAAACTGCAAAGAATCACTCAAGTGAGATCTTGAGAAAGCAACTGCAGCCCTCGCAGTTCCCAGCAGAAGCCCCTGGCCGTGGGGCAAAAAACAGGAAGGAGCCAGCACCCAGGAAGGCTTTCCTAGCTTGTCTTCTGCTTCTTACTGATTGTTAGCAGGCTATTGTGGTAGCAGAGCCAAGCCACTGTGCTATAGGGTTTCCTATGGGGAGGACAGAAATGTATGCAGCATATCTGTGCTGCAGCTGGGCCCTCCCTCCTTGTAACAGGCTATCACACATATGTCCATGGCCTCCATCTCTGTGGTGTCCAAACGGCTCACAGTCACTACTTACTACTGACCCTCATGCAGCTCCTTCTGGTGGGGCAGTGCAGTAAGCTCCATTTCACAGGCCGGGAGCTGTGGCACAGAGACCCAGAGCCTGTACTTCTATTTTCTGTTTTCTCTTTACTCCCGCTATGCTGTCAGTAGGATAAGGCACCCACCCGTGCGAGACACCATGAGCAGTGTGGGCATCCTCCACCTGGGTCACTATGGACCAGGGGCTGGGCAAGAGCACCTTGTTTCACAGCAGCCCCCACCCATCTGTCCGCAATGACCTCTCTGGGATGCCTTCAGTCTGGTGACTAATGGAAGGGTCTTCCACACCTGCAGGGCCATCACCAGTCCCTGGGTTGTCCAAGCCCCTCTCCCTCTGCTGCACTGCCCCTTGTTCAAGTGGCCCAGAAGAGCTGGGGACACAGGACCAGGAGTAGTCACACCCCCTGACTCTGGTGGCAACATCCATTTGTTATCTATAGGGATAGTAGCGGGCTTAGGAGAGGTTAAACTGGACCACTGCCCTGGGACCCACTCTGTATAAAAATAAAAATGAATTACACTGAATATTGGTATTATCGATATTGTATTAAGATACTTTCATTGCAGTTTCATGGATAGGGCCAAGTGATATTAAAATTGAAAATGTCCGACTTGCATATAGGTCATGAAAATTAAGCATCTAAGGGGTGCCAAATGAATCTCTTGCCCAGGGCCCCAACAACACTAAGGCCACCACTGATAGGGATTCTGCTGTGCCCCCTCCTCGGCTAAGGGTGTCCGGGAGAGTCAACTCTAGTAGCAGGGGCAGCTGCAGGTACCAACCAGCAAAAGGGAATGCCCCTCATAGATCCAGGAGGGCATGTTCACTGGCATTCACCCTCCACTCATGTGTCATTGCATCCCCTCTCTGCGTTACCTTTTTGAGATCAAAGTCCATTCATGTGTCACTGCTTCCCCCAAAGTTGGCAAACCGACAGCAGGGGTAGGAGGGGGCCATGGCCCCCAGGGAGTGGCCTTGTGGGGGCACTGGCCAGGCCCTTCAGTGTCCTTATCATAGGACATGACTTTAAGTATTGCTATGAGAAGGATGGAAGCGAGGGGGAAGCAAATGCAAGCATTGGCCCCTGGGCGTCAGAAACCCGCGGTACGTCATTGATCCCCACTCTGCATTACCTTGTTGACATCAAAGTCTGGCTGGACAGGGACCTCTGCCTGGGTCTCCAGCACGCAAAGCAGAGCCAGCCCAATGTTCAACAGCATGGCCTTCATCCTCACAGCACTGCGCTCACACTGAGAATCTGCAGGTGACTTAAAGGACCACGCCGGCTTCCTCGGAGCACATGACTTTATATGCCTCTGCAGGGGGCAGGCCAAAACCCCCACCACATTCAATTCTGACCCTCCTTCAGTGGTTTATGCAACAGGTTATATAAGAGCACTACTGATATCAGTATTTAGGGTATTAGGTGACAGCATTAGCTGGGTTTTGTCTAATTCCTGAACCACAGCTAAATGAGAGGTTGTCAGAAGCATCCAACAAGGAACTATCTCTTTTGATGCTGTGAGATAGCAGCTTGGACCACAGAGCTTTTGGATTTTGAAGTAGCTTAAACCCCATCAAATAGCAGAATTATGATCCAGAAAGGAAGTGCAAAGAGTCCTTTGTATGCAAGTGTAAATTGGTGCTTCTCCTGCATTCCCTGATGCCCTGATCTGAGCACATGTAGTGTAAATGGATAAAGGTGCTGTTAGACATATTGGTGTTGGTATTACCTTGTGCCCCAAGGGGTACTGTCAGTGGCGGAGAAGGCCCCAGGACATTTGCTTCTGATATCACCGGCTTTCAGCAGAGCTCAAAGACCCAGTTTTGTTAGCTAACATGGTAGCAGCTGGGGGCCAGCCACCACAAGAGGGGGAGACAGTATGACACAGAGTGGGTTTCCCCAGCCCAGGTCTTTACTGGCAGAGACACCCCAGCCCTGGTTTGATGCGGACATTGTGGGGAATGTGGTCTGTGTGCACTGTGCAGAGCATTTGCACTGGGCATCTGGTGCTGAGTCACACACGCAGTATAGGTAGCCCCAACAACCAATGCAAGGAGCCTGACCCTTAAAGTGTTTTTTTAAATAAAAGTTAGAGATATTCTTGTCACATTTAAGAAGAAACACTGAAATCATGAGAGTCCTGATGAAATCCCCAGAGCTGGCAACACTGCAACCAGAAAACAAGTCTATAGTGGGTGGGACACTCATAGCATTATCCTGCATTCAGGCACTGTGAGTCTCAACACGGAGCTGATTGTGAGCAAGTCACAGGCCTAACAAGACCTGCAGGAAATCCCTAGCCTGCTAGTGGATGCTGTGGAAACAGGCAGAGAGCCCAGACTTGCCCAGACAATGTGCCCAGCGCTAGCTCTGGGTGGGGACCTGCCTGCCACCTGTCATCTCCAACATGCGGTGGAATTCAGGAAGGCGTAGCTGGCAGGCTGCTGCCAGGCAAGGAGGGCAAGAAGTGTGCAGGTCCTCTTCAGAGAAGGAAGACCTGAGGGATCAGCCACTCCCAGAAGATATCCTGTCATCTAGCATGCAGGGGGAAGTCCTCTGTACAGGTGCAGAGAGGACCTATTTCATGGCAGCAGGAGAAGCCTTTGTATCTCTGAGAGGAGCTGAAGCCCCCTGGTTCTGATCCCAGATGTGCTACCAGCCATAAACAATGGGCTCCACTTCCCCACTGGTCCCACCAGTCCAAGCTCTAACACTGGTACAGAGGACATCTGACTGCTCAGGCCACGCCATTGCACTGCAGCAGAGGCTGGGGCAGGTGGCACTAAAAGCCCGAGCTGTTCCTGGCTGCCCTACAGGGGCCAGGAGTGCTACCAGCCTCCCTTTTCCCTTGTGTCTGGGAGGACACTCCCCACCACTTACACTGGAGAGGGGGTTTTAGGCCTTGATTGGGCCAGTTTCAGCCCAGCTGTAGCTGCAGCAAATGCCCACACCCAGTGGCTGCGATGGTGAGGAACCTGCCAATGCTGCAATGGCAAAGAGGAAATGGCCCTGTGTCCTGGTGTGCATTAGCCTCTGTGTTGGGGACATCCCCGCGCCTTGCACTCTCATAACTCAATGGAGGGTTCTTTTCTTTGCGAAGACTGAGGCAAAGTAGCTGTTGACTAGCTCTGCCTTCTTTGTATCTTCTTTGTGCAGCCAGGTTTCTTGCCCTTCTTCTTGTGCTTCCATCATGTCAAGACAGTTTCCTGTCAGGCTTCCACTACTGTGGCCCTTAGTAGCTCCCAGCCCTCCTGGGCACCTTTACCTTCACTCTATCCTCCCAGGACACCATGCCCATTAACTCCTTGAGTAGGCTGAAATCCACTTCTTTGAACTCGAGTGTCCTAATCACAGCGCAGCTCATCCATTACAAGAGGGCTGCAGGTGGCTGACAGAGACACACACACTGGGTATGGAAACAGGGAGCACGAGCCCTGGAGAGGCTGAGGGGACAGGTCTGGGTGAGGGGAAGGGGCACTGAGGATCAGGGTGAATGGGCAGGTGCAGGTGAGGGTCTGGCAGCTGAGGGAAGTTTTGCAGCTGCCCAAAGAAATGTCTGGTTAGTGCAGTCAGAATGCTTTGATCAGTATTTTTGCTCTAGTCCCAAGAGCACGATAGAGGGCAGTGATGCTGAGCAGCTCCAGGGGGGCAGGAGGGATAAGGCAGCTGTACTGTGGCATAGGTCGGTGCTGCAGTAGCTGGGGGTGGAGCAGGGTATGGCATCCTAAGAGACTCTGCTGGGTACAAGCTGGCTTCTGAGCTGCCTGCGGGAGGTGAGCGCCTGCTAGCCAGGCAGGCCACAGCCACCTCCTTATGGTGCAAGGCTGTCTGCCTCAGGCCCCAGCCTCCAGTGAACTCAGTGACATATGGTGCCAACTCTCTGCCCCCTATGTTCACCTGGGTCCCACTCCTGCCTCTTCTGCTCCAATCTCCCACAGTCCCAGCCAGCCCCTTCCCTTCCCTGCTTCCTACACCATAACCCTTCCACTCCCAGACAGTGCCATAGTACGGGGAGACAAGAGGGGCGACTGCCCTGGGTACCAAAGCGAAGGAATGCCAACAGGCACTGCCCAGCCAGGGTAAGACATGGGACAGAGCTGTAAGTGGCTCTACTGGGGGCATAGGAACAGGGGAAGGGTGGCTTCTGCCACTGCATATACTCCTGAGCAAGCATTTGGGGGCATCTGCCCCCCAGATCTGAGCGTGGTATGAGGGCTGCTGCTGTGGGCTCTTCCCCAGGTGCCAAATTTTTGTACTTCAGCACTGCTCCCAGAGGCCCAGCCATGTCCTCCATCCTTCTGTCAGAACATCTCTACCTGGTGCTGTGTCGCCTGCTGTTCAGAGGTCTGGCTTGGGGTTGCAGTCATCCCGGACTGAATACAGCCCACTGAAGCACTCAGAAATCCTGTTCCATGTTATCCCATCTGAGCACTCTCATGTGTCTGTCCCCCGCAAGTAACTTCCTGAAAGCTGCTAGAGGTAAGCAGGGCAGAGGCCCCCTTGATAGGTCCCCCAAGGGCTCCAGGGCCCTGAGATGCTCAGCAGACTCCGGAGCTGCTCCCACCTTCCCCAGACAAACACACGGGGCTCTGGAAGCAGGTTCTGCATCTATTTATTTAGCAGTGAGAGGACGGGTCCCTTGCAAAGCAGTACATGCTGCAGAGCTACCTCCTGGGGTGCAGTCAGAGGGAGCGAATCCCTCCAAAGGAAGTGGGGAAGGAGGGTGAGGAGGCACAAAGCTGCAGCCTGGATTTTCAGATCACTGATGCTTCTGTGATCCATCCGCGGAGGCCGGAGGAGCTGCAGCTGATGGGGGTGGCTCCCGTTTAAACACTGTAAGACAGTAAGAGTGATGGATACTTGGGCAGAGGGGAAAGTGCAGATGGGCAGAGAGGCAAGTACACCAGGATACATTAAAACAGCCCAGTCTGGGTCATAACAGCCCCATCCTGACCAGGGAGCTGTGCCAAGGCAGACCAAGTGTCCAGCTCTCCCAGGCACTGGTGCTTCAGAGACAGATGCCTCTCCATGGAGTCTTACTGAGTGGCAGGAGCAGCAAGCATTCCCCTCCCCATTCTTGACCCCCAGTAATCAGGCTGGAGCCTTGCTATTCAGATAGCCCTGGCTCAGTGGAAACCCAGAGATAGTAAACTCACCCAAGGGCCTTGGCACACTGATCTGTCAAGAGAAAGAGAGAGCTGTCAGTGCTCAGCATAAGCTCATTGTTCCAGGATCTTCTCAATGGCAAAGAGAAATGTTGGGGATCTAAAATGGCCCAATCCCTCTAGGATCCTGGTCAGTGAACCCTGCCACGATGCATGCATCATGGCCAATGGCATCTGTTCTTTTCCAAGTTTAGCAGTACATATGGGAATGGAAAAAATCCCGAAGCAGGCAGCAGTTACCTGACTTGGGCAGGATGACCAGCATGTCTTCAGTGAGGCCCATGGTTGGGTACAGCTCCTTGAATCTCTTCAGGGCTTCAGGGTGCACATCTTGGACTCTGCCTGAAGCCAAAGATCAGCATTAAAGCCAGGTGTTTCTCAGCATAAAAGCCGGGTGTTCCCAGCCTGCCCTGCAGCAGGTCTCCTCTGTGGCTGGACAGATGGACACAATCCTGACCGGCCACAATGGGAGAGGTTTCTAGGGGCTGGTGTGGGCATGGGATGAGCTGAGGGCTAGGAGAGAAAGGAAGGTTCTCTGTGAAGACCAACAATTAGATGTAGAGGACCAGGAAGCCAGCCTGATGGACGCCTCTACCAATGACCACCTGAGGGCCTCCCCTTGATTTGCAGCATTCACCCATCAGGTAGAGCACAAAGCTGGGCTAGAAACTTGACCACGAATCTTCCTTTGTATGGACCAGTCTTACGTTCAGCTCTTTGGGGCTGGCTCACAGGAGGTAATTCAGGGAAAGCATCTGTGAAACAGCCAACAGTAGGGAAACGGTCATGGAAACTTCTCAGTGTTGCTTTGAGAACCAAGGCCCTGTCTTTCTAAGCCTGAGAAGACAACTCAGGTGCCAATGGCTTTCCCCAATTCCCCTCCTCACCCACATCTCATGTCAACACCATTTTCTCAGTGGGGCTGTACTGTCCTGACCATTCTCCCAACACTTACTAAAGAGCTGCAAGGTGACGCTGGTCTCGCCGTCCTTATCCTTGCGTATGTACACGATGGCGTAGTGAGCATAGTCTGTCTCCACCACGCGGAAGTCTCTCTTGGCCATCACTGAAAAACAAACCAGGCGGTGTTCAAAGACCACAACGTCTCAGCTCTTCTCCTTAGCAAACAGGCTACATGCTGGGGCTGGTATTAGGGTGATGAGGGCACTGGACACATCCCATACTCTGCACTGGTCCCATGCCCTGCACTGCTGGTGGGCTGTTGAGTATCCTGCTCCCAGTAGTGTAGCTGGGTGTGGTAAATGGGGCAGCAGCCTGAAGCATCCATTTAGAAGGGGTGCAAGAGTGGCAGCTGGTATTACTGCTGTCCAGACCACTGCATCTTCCACCACCTGCTGTGCTACTGCCACCACTCTGGGTACAGACCCTGGTCTCTACTTAAAGCACATCATATTCCTGCTATGTACCTCAGTTTTCCCCATCTGTAAAATGGGGTTATTCTAATATGAAAAGTTCTGCATAAAAGCTAGGATATTTTTTTTTATTCGATTAATGTGATTACTAGATAGTGGCACCCAATGGCTCTTTATTGATCCAAAGGCACTTTATTGGCAGATTTGTAGCAGCTTCGGGCAGCTGTCATCTAGGAAGTCCCCCAATACCTTCTTGATTTTGATCTATAACCTCAAATAGCCAGGACCAGGTGCTTTCTAATAGTACAAGGGGCATCTTCACAACCCAGCCTTGCTGGTAACAGTTGGTTCTCTGCCTGTCTTTGTTGGATGACATGTGCTGAAACCAGGGAGATCAAAGCTCTGCCTTATGGGTGCTGGTGCTATTAGCTCAGACCAGCCTGGCCACAAATACAGCTTGTGAATTAATTATCCAAACAAGATCTCTGAACCAGGTGCTGCACAGGGCTTGTTTGAGTCTGGTTTTGCAAAGCATGTAACCAGGTGCTTCATGTGAACTGCCAGTGTATGGTGGCAGATCCAGGATGTGGTGGAATGGCAGCATCTGATAGTTGGCCTGGCCAGTTTGCAAATCTGCCTACAAAGCTTTGCTCATTGGTGCGCCATCTTCAGCCTGAGAAGTACCTGAATTGGTGTAGTGACCTGACTTCCCAGCGCTCTTGAAAGTAAGATCCATTTTCTGACATTTATCTGGCCTGGAAAAAAGCAAAGGGAAAAGCAAGGTCAGGCTAAACCAGAACCTGGGTCACTCAAAGAGCTGGGGTGAGCCTAGTTTGCCCAGGTAACAAGCAGGCCTATCCTGGGAAGGGGGGGCAATGTGCCATCATGGTGTGGGGCAGAGGTGAGTCTGTTCTGACTGGGTGGGGGGATGTTTGTTACACGGGCAAGCAAAGCCTAGTAGGAGGGTTATGGCATACTCTAGAGATGGGCGTGAGCCTGCCTTGACCTGTGCGTTGCAGGATAAACCAAAAGGAGATTCTTCCTGATTTGAATTTCACCTTATTTTCACTCTCCCACCACCTCAGCCCTAACAGGAGAATCTATCCACAATGAAGGCCCAGCTACCTATGAGGCAACATCAGGGAAAACCACAAGAATATTTCCTCCACTTTAGCACCAAACCAGCCTCAACCACTAAGCTATAGTCATCTTTCTCTAGGCCACTGACTGTGCCGAGCCCAGGAGAGCCACATGCTGATGGGTCAGATCAGCAGGTTACAAATGTACTCACAAAGGGTAACCAGCAGTTAAAGTCAAGTCGCCTCCTGGCATTGGCGTGATGATGGTAACAGACGTCTTCATGACTTCCTTCATGCTCAGGAACTGGGGGCAGTTGGAGGCAGCAACCATGATGTGCCATTTCCCTGCAAACTGCAAAGAATCACTCAAGTGAGATCTTGAGAAAGCAACTGCAGCCCTCGCAGTTCCCAGCAGAAGCCCCTGGCCGTGGGGCAAAAAACAGGAAGGAGCCAGCACCCAGGAAGGCTTTCCTAGCTTGTCTCCTGCTTCTTACTGATTGTTAACAGGCTATTGTGTTAGCAGAGCCAAGCCAATGTGCTATAGGGTTTTCTATGGGGAGGACAGAAATGTATGCAGCATATCTGTGCTGCAGCTGGGCCCTGCCTCCTTGTAACAGGCTATCACACATATGTCCATGGCCTCCATCTCTGTGGTGTCCAAACGGCTCACAGTCACTACTTACTACTGACCCTCATGCAGCTCCTTCTGGTGGGGCAGTGCAGTAAGCTCCATTTCACAGGCCGGGAGCTGCGGCACAGAGACCCAGAGCCTGTACTTCTATTTTCTGTTTTCTCTTTACTCCCGCTATGCTGTCAGTAGGATAAGGCACCCACCCGTGCGAGACACCATGAGCAGTGTGGGCATCCTCCACCTGGGTCACTATGGACCAGGGGCTGGGCAAGAGCACCTTGTTTCACACCAGCCCCCACCCATCTGTCCGCAATGACCTCTCTGGGATGCCTTCAGTCTGGTGACTAATGGAAGGGTCTTCCACACCTGCAGGGCCATCACCAGTCCCTGGGTTGTCCAAGCCCCTCTCCCTCTGCTGCACTGCCCCTTGTTCAAGTGGCCCAGAAGAGCTGGGGACACAGGACCAGGAGTAGTCACACCCCCTGACTCTGGTGGCAACATCCATTTGTTATCTATAGGGATAGTAGCGGGCTTAGGAGAGGTTAAACTGGACCACTGCCCTGGGACCCACTCTGTATAAAAATAAAAATGAATTACACTGAATATTGGTATTATCGATATTGTATTAAGATACTTTCATTGCAGTTTCATGGATAGGGCCAAGTGATATTAAAATTGAAAATGTCCGACTTGCATATAGGTCATGAAAATTAAGCATCTAAGGGGTGCCAAATGAATCTCTTGCCCAGGGCCCCAACAACACTAAGGCCACCACTGATAGGGATTCTGCTGTGCAGGGTCTCTGTGCTGGGATGGGCCCAGGAGGCAGTGGAGAACTTGCCTGTGGGGGCTGGAGGTAGCCCTGGTCCATGGTTCCAAGTCACTGAGTCAGTGTCTTTGAGTGTCTCACCCACCCTGCTCTGCTAAGGGTGTCCTGGAGAGTCAACTCTAGTAGCAGGGGCAGCTGCAGGTACCAACCAGCAAAAGGGAATGCCCCTCATAGATCCAGGAGGGCATGTTCACTGGCATTCACCCTCCACTCATGTGTCATTGCATCCCCTCTCTGCGTTACCTTTTTGAGATCAAAGTCCATTCATGTGTCACTGCTTCCCCCAAAGTTGGCAAACCGACAGCAGGGGTAGGAGGGGGCCATGGCCCCCAGGGAGTGGCCTGGGGAGGGGAGGGGGCACCAGCCAGGCCCCTCAGTGTTCTTATCATGGGGCATGACTTTAAGTATTGCTATGAGAAGGATGGAGGCATGGGGGGTGCAAATGCAAGCATTGGCCCCCGGGTATCAGAGACCCGCGGTATGTCATTGATCCCCCCTCTGCATTACCTTGTTGACATCAAAGTCTGGCTGGACAGGGACCTCTGCCTGGGTCTCCAGCACGCAAAGCAGAGCCAGCCCAATGTTCAACAGCATGGCCTTCATCCTCACAGCACTGCGCTCACACTGAGAATCTGCAGGTGACTTAAAGGACCACGCCGGCTTCCTCGGAGCACATGACTTTATATGCCTCTGCAGGGGGCAGGCCAAAACCCCCACCACAGTCACTTCTGACCCTCCTTCAGTGGTTTATGCAACAGGTTATATAAGAGCACAACTGATATCAGTATTCAGGGTATTAGGTGACAGCATTAGCTGGGTTTTGTCTAATTCCTGAACCACAGCTAAATGAGAGGTTGTCAGAAGCATCCAACAAGGAACTATCTCTTTTGATGCTGTGAGATAGCAGCTTGGGCCACAGAGCTTTTGGTAGCTTTTTGGAGGTAGCTTAAACCCCATCAAATAGCAGAATTATGATCCAGAAAGGAAGTGCAAAGAGTCCTTTGTATGCAAGTGTAAATTGGTGCTTCTCCTGCATTCCCTGATGCCCTGAAATGAGCACATGTAGTGTGAATGGATAAAGGTGCTGTTAGACATATTGGTGTTGGTATTACCTTGTGCCCCAAGGGGTACTGTCAGTGGCGGAGAAGGCCCCAGGACATTTGCTTCTG